AGCTGCTCTTGTCTTTACCTTGTTGTATTTCTGCTGGATTTTATGGGGAATCCACACAAGGAAGTCATTGAAGTATGTCAGAAATTTTCTCAATGATATTTTTTTTTCACCAGAAAAAGGAGACTTCTCAATGCATGAAGGAACTTATGCTGATGGTTTCTGAAGTCAAGATGAAGCTAAATGAGTGGGGTTACCAAGAAGTGGGGGTGTTCGTGTGGGACATGTACCTCATCTTTGAGAAACATAGGGCATGTGACAAGGTGAGTGGCTCTCCCTGCTCCGATTTCATTTTGTTGTTGTTCTTTTTTTTTTATTATTTTCATTGTGTCACTCAGCCCTCATATCCTGATGCTGGGAAAGTTTATAGTTGATCTCATCTTATTACAAGCCTATTTAAGCAAGGGTTCTGGAAGTGAGTGGCTTCTTAAATTCAGAATGGAGAGTAACAGTGAGTTACAAGGTATCCCTGCCACCAGAGCCCCAGGTCCCTGAGAGCTCATTCCTCTCCTCAAAGTCTAGAGGTTCCCATTGATAACAGTAACATCCTCCCTGCTCCAAACAAAGGAGGAAGAGAATCGGGCCCAAAATTACATTGTGCTTCTTCTCTCTTCCTGATTATACTCACTCAAGCTTCTCAGAAATCCTAAACTCTGGATTCCTTTGCATGTGAATGAAACATACAGTTAACAGAAGTCACCGGAGGGGAATAGAAGTGGCAACGTGAGAGGAAGATCACTGATTGCACTTAGACACTCTGTACTATTTGATTTTTACCAAGGACATAGATTACCTTTCTAACTCTCACTAAAATAAACAACCCAAACCATATGAGCAAGAGTCCACAAGTATTGTAATAATTTTTCAATTTCTGATTATTTAATAACAACTAATCATGCGCTTAAGAAACAGATGTTACTCTCAGCCATACGAGTATTTAATCTTAACTTGGTTAATGTAATTTAGGTGCTCAAGGCAAGAGTTTTGATCTTTGTCAATTGCAATGTGTCTAAAGACACTAAGAGTGAGTGTCATTATGTTTGTCTTTTTTCTTCTTCTTTTTTCTAGTGCTACTACTTTGGCCAAAAGGGAATTAGACTGAAGGCAGAATTTGAGAAGCATTTCAAGAAAGTGTTTGCTATTTGGGATGTACATGAGAACAGTTCACTGGTATAGTGAATGCTGTTGGTACTCTGGAAAATCCTCCAGCTGCTGTGAGAGTTTCCTGCTGATGCCACCCCTCCCCAGAGTATTGCATTGCACCAAATGGAGCCTCCTTCACCTGGAGGGTACCCCTCCTTGGCCTGAGGTCCAGCCCCAAGTCCCAGCGTGGAGCCAATGACTGATAAAGACTCATACTCCTGCGCTCTCCACTGGGGTCAGACTGGAGCTAGTCTCCAGCTTGACTCATCCTTGCTTAGCTTTCCCACCATGCTATCCTGCTCCCTTCACCCCTCACCTCTTGAGATAATCACAATAAATCACTTACTTAGGAGACTTCACCTCAGGCTCTGCTTCTTGAGAATTCAAATTAAGGTAATCATCCTAGAAAGTTAACCCCAAGGACCGGAGTTCTGGAGTTGGGTCACTGTCCCGTCAAATGGTGACAGGTGGAATGCTGTTATACCAAGGGCGCCATAACAGTGCTTTGCCCAAACTCTTTCCTGCAGGAAACTGGATGAGAATGACGGGAAGAGGTATGCTAGCTGGTACAATTCGCTGACACTTACAACAGGAGCAATAATAACTATGAGAACTATGAATTTTGTTAGTATCACTGATATGTTGACAGTAGTAAATGACAGGCTTAAGTCTATTAGTCACCACCTTAAGCAAAGGGACACTCATACCTGTAGCTGGAAGGCAGACAATAAGGTAGAGCTATCTCAGGCTCTAATTTTAAGGAAGGTAGTACTTCAGAGAAGACTGAATTCTAACCTCAGTGGTGCCTCTTATCCCAAAGTCAAGGCCATGATAAAGAAACTCAGAATTGGGCTTTCTGGGTAGATGCACATGAGAACTCTGAACCCACTAGACTGCAAAAGAGTGCCTTTTCCCTTATTAGAAGAGAGACCCCTCCCCTCCCCCACATCTTCTTGAGTGAAGACTATGCAGAGTCCTCTCAGCGTGACTCAGTTGGCAAGTCCTGGGTGGAGCTGCTGGGTGAGGAGAGGGTTTCTCCTCCAGGGGAGCTGCAGGACTGGCCACCATGTACCAGCAGGTGCAAGGAGATTGTGTCTGGGAGTAGATCCTGGACGATAAATGGTGGAATATGAAACTGGACAGGGAGAATTGTTGATATAAATACACCCTCCTATGCCACAGAGTTTAATTAGCCTGGCAAGGGCCTAGTTGATGATTCTAATATGTTCCTGGATGACTCTCAGATATTTGCTATAAGCTTTGGTGCCCACTAGATGAAGTGGAGTAGTGACCTGCCAGGGTAGACTTTGGACAAAGGGTACCCAAAGGCCTCAGGAAGATGGCATGGCTCTACTCTCTACAGCTGGAGAACCCATTCTTCAGATGACGATGTCCTCAGGAGGACTCACAGACACTAACTAAACGAGGTGAGAAGCACACTGCTGAGGGGGCACCAGCATCCTTGAGGTTCTCAGTAGGGGCTGTCTTCTGCGGTTTGGAATGTAGGGGCTGTCTTCTGTGGTTTGGAATGTAGGAATGGTTACAGAACTGGATTCTACTAGCAAATGAGATGAGAGGATTCCACGATAACAAAAGCTCGTGTACCCTTGACTGTCAGAGCAAGATGAAGTGATTTCTGTAATGGACAGCAAGGTTAGAATGACAGCCAGAGGCCTGGCCCATAGAGGTCTATAGAGATAGCTTATAGGACATGTGTTCTCGTAGGCAAGACAGATGGGCAGCCAACAAAGTTATGGCTTCATAATATCATTAGAAGAGATTAAAAATACATGATCAGAGGTATTATTTCAGCTACTCCAATGAAAAGTCCAGATCCCTTACCCAGTTTCCAGACCTGAGCCAATTCTTGGACCCTGAATCTACTGATAGAAATAAGGACACATGTCATGAGAAACCTTACAAATGTACATAGCAGTGACTGTTGTGTTCTTCACCAAAGGAACACATGACTATTTATTCAGGTAACCATATACCAAACAAAGAAAAATAGATCTGTTAAGTTTTGTTGATACAACGCCTGATATACAAATACCTGAGGATCCAAAGCACCATCATGGCTCCTGTTAGAGTGTGTGGAGGTAAGGTAATGTCCATCTAACAGTGAGTCCACTCCATCCACAGAGCCACCCAGCAGGCACTTCTCAAGTTCCTAAATGGATAGTCAGGACACATACCATTTGGCCAAACTGATTCTTTGCCTATTGTTCCTTAAACTGTGAAATAGCATTTACAGTCTCATAAAAGGCTAAGTAGAAGGTCCTGAAACTGAAGCGTCTTATTGTGAAAACAGCAAGCTGACATCAGCATCATATTCCTGGGGAAGGAGGGAATGACAGAGATGAGTGCCACCTGCCAAGATTTAAGGATGCCGGGGGCGTCATCCCCATTACATCTCCATTTGATTCAGCAGTCTGGCTCCTGGTAAAGCTAAGTGATTCATGGCTACTAGGTGACTACTAGAACCATAAACAACGTTGGGGCTTACAGCAACCAGCACTCAGACCTTGGTGGGCCGCATTCCTGCTTGCAGTGGTGCTGAACAGAGATCACAAGTAGTGGCTCTGCCATTCTCCAGAGCCAAACTGATCTTCCCATCTGACTGGAGAGCTTAGTTGGCAGCTGTGACTGACTTGGGTCTCCAGGCAGGCCACACCAACCACAGAGCCCACCGTAGTACTCCAGGTGAGAAAGCAACTTTGCAACCCACCCAACTGCTTTCTTTCTGGTTGGCAGAGACAGGAAAGGAGTCAGGGTAGCCAGGTATTCTGAGAAGCAAGGGGGAAATCCCAGGAAACAGAAAGTCACAACCAGGGAGCCCAAACCCTCCCCAAGTCACCTGAGCTGACTTTTTGTCTGACAGATAAAAACATGAGAAAGATGTCTCAAAATACCAGCTTTCTCCCAGATAAAGCTGAATTGGGGACATGGCTTACATGTATGGTAAAAAAAAATTGCTAAATCTGAACTCCAACATTGGGCTTTGCCACCAGGCCTCAGGGTATTCCACCCCTCCAATCCCCACCTCCCGCCACACAGACACACACACACACACACACACACACACACACACACACACACACACACA